GGGTGAGTTGGCCAGAGAATTTTTAAGTTCAGAGAAAATTAGACCTAAAAGAAACAGATAAATAGCTTTTGTCGTTTTCTAGTGTCTCTCTTAGAAGAGCAAAATATGTACTATCTTATTTGAATACTTTGTTGTTGTTGTTGTTAGTTGCGAAGTCATGTCTGACCCATCGTAACCCCATGGACAATGTTCCTCCAGGCCTTCCTGTCCTCTACCATCCCCCAGAGACCATTTAAGCTCACGCCGACTGCTTCAGTGACTCCATCCAGCCACCTCATTCTCTGTCGTCTCATTCTTCTTTTGCCCTCAATCTTTCCCAACATTAGGCTCTTCTCCAGTGAGTCCTTCCTTCTCATTAAGTGGCCAAAGTATTTCAGTTTCATCTTCAGGATCTGGCCTTCTAAAGAGCAGTCAGGGTTGATCTCCTCTAGGACTGACCAGCTTGATCGCCTTGCAGTCCGAGGGATTTGCAGGAGTCTTCTCCAGCACCATAGTACAAAGGCCTCAATTCTTTGGCGCTCAGCGTTTCTTATGGTCCAACTTTCACAGCCATACATTGCAACTGGGAAAACCTTGAATAGTTTAGTTTATGGTTAATCAAGTGTCTGTTTCAGGGGCATTGGTTTTCATACTTATTTTTTGACTTCATGGAAATACAGATAGCCCTTGACTTACGCCCGCAGTTCAGCCCAACATTTTTATTGCCAAGCAAGATAGTTGTTAAATGAGTTTTTGCCCCATTTTACAAACTTTCTTGCGACACTTGTTCAGTGAATCACTGCAGTTGTTAAGTTGGCAACACGGTTGTTAAGTGAATCTGGCTTCCCTGTTGACTTTGCTAATCAGAAGGTCGCAAAACGGTATCATGTGACCCCCCCAAGACACTGCAACCGTCATGCCAGTTGCCGAGTGTCCAAATTTTGATCATGTGACCATGGGAATACTGCAGTGGTCATAAGTGTGAAAAAAGTTCATAAGTCATTTTTTTTTCAGTGTAGTTGTAACTTTGAATGGTCACTAAATGAATAGTTTGTAAATTGAGGATTATCTGTACTACATTTATTAATGTAAATTTAAAAGACTAGGACTATCTTGTGTCATCCAGTCACACAGTGTTGGATTATTTGGTCCCAGTGAGCCACGAGACATATTTTTAACATCTCCAAACCAATATAACTATTGCTATTGTTGGCATTCCACTGGTTTTGCTAATCTCTTATCAGAAAGACACTTTAACACAATAGTATTTGATATTGATTAGAATGGTATATCATCAATAAGTATCTTATATTCTGAGTCAAGGACACAAGTTTTTGAGCATCAGTGTTTGAGATCCCATAACAAGGCAGCAAGCGGTTTATCATGCTTCATACTATATTATTGCAATGTAGCACACTAGTTTGTGGATTTTCTGCCTCTAAAACCAGATCAGAGAACAAAATGAAGAGAGGAGTAATTTTGCACTTCAAAAAGAATGCCAATTTGTACTTGCTATGTGTGTATGCACAAATCCTTTTTTTAAAACTTCTCTCTCCTTATCTTTTCTGTTTTCTTGCTTATCTTTAACTGATGCAGAATCTTATATCTGGGGACTTCTTAGGATTGCGTCCCAAGATAATATGTTCAGGAACGATTAGTTGAAAAATCTTCACTGCCCTGTCAATGGTAAATGTATGCACTTTGATATTTTTGTGTGGGGAAATCACCTGGGTGGCCTGGGCGCTCTAAACGTCTTACTGAAATGTGGTCGACCCAAGTAGTAGACCCACACAACTATGTTGTGCTTGTGTGGGTTTTGTTTGTTCTGTTTTGGTTCCATAAAGGAAATCTTAGAAATTGATGGCTGCAATCGAGAGACCTTATTTAGTCTTCATAAACAGTTGAAAAATACAGCAACTTGCTTTTTGCTGTTTAATTTCTTCATTCCACAGAGGAAATATTTCAATATGTAGTCATTTATTTTATTTCTTTGACAGATGTATCTCCTGCTTTTCCTCCAAGAGCCTTCCATGGAGAGGTCTTTTATATTTATCCCAGCATGAGCTGACCTATGAGGTAGGGTGATCTGAGAAAGAGAGAGAGAGTGAGCATCCCAAAGGAATCCAGTAAGCTTCTGTAGTTGAGGATGGACTTGAACCTGGTACTCTTTGATGCCAGTCCATGACAATAACTACTACAGTGGATCTCATATCTGTCTATCTATGAATATAGCCATATCAGAGAGGTACAGATACTCTTTTGAGATTTTCATTTTTTTTTTAAAAAAATATTTACAAAGGAATTTTAACTCAGGCTTTCAACTATGGCTGGTTTGTGATAGCTGTAAACAATTCTGAAGGACATCAGATTTGATCCATCTTCCTCTGCCAGGCATTTATATCATTTTTTTTCCATCCAGGCAGAAAATATTATCTGATCTGATGCCTCATAAGCATTTACCTTATGAGGTTATTTGGAAAAAGTAATTACAACACACATAATAAAGAATTTGCTGTATATTTCACAACAAAACAGCATCTTGAGACAGAATGTCTAAAAACTATACCATAGTTAGAGTAATCCTTGGTTTTCCTAGTGCCAGAGTTATCTGTCTATATCTGTCTGTCTGTCTGTCTGTCTGTCTGTCTGTCTGTCTGTCTAGATCTATCTATCTATCTATCTATCTATCTATCTATCTATCTATCTATCTATCCATCCATCCATCCATCCATCCATCCATCCATCCTCCCTCTACATTCTAATTTAGAGATCTTTCATCTCACTTACTACCATAACCAAGTTAAGCAACAGACTCCAAGGGATTTTTTAATCACATTCAAAAGGTACCATACAGTCTTATTATGGGATTCCTTTCTATCCACATCTATCTTCCCAAGCTCCCAATGTTATATGTAGCATAAATGAATAAAATGCCATGCAAAATTTTACATATGACATTCTGCCTAATTACACGTAGGAGAGACCAGTATGAGAAGGAAGATGGAAAGGAGGGAAAAAAACGGAAGGAGGGGAAGGGAATTGACAGGAGAGAAGAATAGCAAGCATATATTGTATATGTAGTGGGAGAGTAGATTTCTTCCATTGATTGGCTCACATCTCAGGTGGAAGCCTTCAGTCCCACCCTGATAAATTTGTGGAAGGGAAGAGAATGGAAAAAGAGAGAAGTACAGTATGTGTGGAAAAGAAGGAAGTATGTGTGGGAGGGAGAGAGAGGGGAGAGGACAGAGTAAGATAACTAATTTTTTTAACCCATTTTTGGTTTAAAGTTCTGAATGCACTCCTCAAGAAAATATATACACATCCTTGTTCTCTAGGTTAAAAATTCCACCAAACTTTGTAGACTTTGTAATTGTTATAAACCATTCTCCTCCCCTTTAACAGATAGGGGTTTTTCCTCCCTTTTTCCTTTCACATTTTCATCTGGCTCTCCATGTAAAACAAGGAAATGGAAAGAAACATGTTAGCTCATTTATGTCAAGTGCCAGTGGTGAATAATTCCCTGTAGTATGCTCTCAAGTGCTGCATTCTGTGGTCTATTTTTAAATGATTCAGAGAGTAGGGCTTTCCCTGCCTTGTGGAAACACCATAATTAAATTGGCCTCTTTGTAAGGGGATTATCTTATTTCCTGTTGGCCAGTTTGCATTCTCCCTTTGGCCATGGTCATCTAAATTGCTTTGACTTCTTATATGGAAGGTTGTTGTCCAGTTTTCTTGGTTCTTGTCTCTCAGTTCAACTTTTTTAGAAGTTAGCATGTGCCTAGGTTAGAGATAATACTACCTGTAATACCTCTTCATAATCTGGTGCCCTTAGATGTTTTCTGATGAAACTTCCACCATTCCTTATACCTGGCCATGCTGGTGAAAGCAGCTAAGGTATTCCAAAACATCTGGAAGGCATCACAAAGAAGGCTAGTCTCAGTTTGAACTTTTGAATCTCAGTTTTCTCCAGAAATAGTTGTGGCTTTTGTGGTTGTGAGATGAGCCTTGCTTTGGATATGCTCTATCTACTGATACAAGACTTGGCTGTTGAAATTTCATTCTCCAGCATTCTTCAGAATTTTTTTCTTTTTAAATGCCCTGGAATTAGGGCTGCTGTTTAAAGAATTGATACAACTGCTTGTCGATCAGTTTTCTGGGGAGACTGGAGGAGAATGTGCTCATAATTAGTTATTATTTTTGAAACTGTAAATTAGCTTTCAGTTTAGATGTTTCTGCCCAAAATGTGGGTCAGGTGGGAATACAGATCCACAGCTCAGCTGTTAGATATATAAAACCCTATACCATCTAAACAATTTAGCCATACGTATAGTTAGAGCAATGTTTCTCAACTTTGGCAACTTTAAGACATGTGGAGTTCAACTTCCCAAATTCTCTAGGCTGGGGAATTCTGGAAGTTGAAGTCCACATGTTTTAAAGTTGCGAAGGTGGAGAAACACAGAGTTAGCGGGTTGTCTAGGGCAAATTACTATTTTCTGGCCATTTTTCTGCCTCATTAAGATTACTGCTAATAGTGATGATTGCTTAGCTTTGGGACTTCTCAACTTAGTATATCTTAATACTATTAATATATAAGCCAAAGTTGTTTGGAAAAAATATTGTTTGGCATGAATATTCAGCTTGGAAGTCGCTGCTGATACTTTTTTCCAGTATTTTTTTGTTCATGTTTTATCTTCCCAAGAGGAAGAAAGATCCGGGCAGTATCTGCAAAATTGCATTTTATCCAGGCTGAAACAAATATGTATTTAACTCTCTGCAAACAAGCTTCAGTGCTGTTTATCATTCCTCAGATCAACCCCTTTTACATGTGGCTTTTTGGCAGGGTGGGTGGGGGTGAATGGTGGGTAGAAGAGACCTACTCATTCTATAAATGAAGATGCCACAAAAATAACCATTTAAAACTCTAGCACCCACTCACCCTGATAGGAAAGTAGCAAGCTGCAAGCAAGGCAGAGACTAACATTTTGTCCACCCACCTCCTCTCTCTCTCTCTTTAAACACAGGAACTTTGGTCATGGAAGCAAGGACACGTGGTGGATTCTTGGCAGTCTGCAGTCTGTGGAGCATTTGCAGGTGCAAAGGATTATATGTTATCCTGGGAAACATAGAAGAAGAAAAGCAGGGAGGAGGGACAGAGTGCAACTCTATGAAGGCCAGCGAGGCAGCCACATTCTTTTATAATTCCGGTTTGTTTAGAGTGAAGAAGATGGAATGTGGAGAAGGGTGGAGGTGGGGGGAACCAGGGAGAAGAAGGTGAGTCTAAGGAGCCCAGGCCAGGGTGTCAGTTTGAAAGACAGCCAATTTGTTTTTGGCAAATTTCTGTTATTGAACAAACAGGGCCTGTCAGTCAGCTTCTGGGATTATCCAAAGGTTGAGCTGTAAAACTCTGTGAGGAGAACGTGCATTTGGGTGCGGGTTTTTGTGCAGCTGCCTGCCCTGAGCTCCTCTCCAGGCTCAAGGGCTCTCGGTAAGGCCCATGATTCACTCTTCATGTGACAGCTCTGACAGGACTCTAGATTAAGGAGAGTCAGGAGAACAGAACGTCTATGCGCAGCAGCCTCCAGGCAGAAACTTTCCACGGAGGAGAACCGGAGGCTGAAACATCTGGGCAGTCTCCGGACACTCTGCCTGGAATGAAGAGTGGCAGGACATGCTCTGGGATGATGGATTGCAAAAGAGCCTGAAAGTTAATTGAATTCTTAAAGAGCCACCTTGCCCTATTATAACAGCCTGCTTTAAAATAATTTCCTTTCAGATGTCACAAGTGCCACCCATCCCATACATCTGACAAGGGGGCAGGGAGGGGAAGTGTAATGGTCTGATAGAAATCTCAAATTAGGGGCAGCTCAAGATTGAGTGGAAAAAACCCTGCAAAATGGTCAGCCTCAGGTCCTGAAGGTGGAGGGAAGGAAGGTGCAAATAGGAGTAACAATTATACTCTCGGGTTGCTGCCAAGGAAAACTCACCCAAATTGAATACAGGTAGTCCTCGACTTTCGCTTAGTGACTTTTTGAAGTTACAATGGTTTTTGAAAAGTTCTGAATCTTTTGTTGTTCTTCTCATTATGGCTGAGGTATCCTAACATCTGGAGTCTTTTCTTAGAAATTAACAATTCATTCAGAGACAGGGTAAAATAAAATGGTTGTATGAATGATTAAATAGCTGAAGATGTTATAGTAGCCTTCCCCAGGGCAATTACGATATACTCCCTCACAAACAGCTGCGTGGCCAGTTGTCATGGTGATTGGGGATGATGGAAGTCATAATTCGACATTTCTGGAAGAGTTCAGTTTGAGGAAACTGCTAAATCTTTGTAAATACTGGTTCACTTATTCAGTTCAGTCATGTACTTACTTACGTTGCATGAAATTATTTTAATACATAAAACTTCTCTTCCTCCTTCATGATATTTCAGTCTCCTCCCATGTCTTTACATTTTTTACTATTTTTAGACTTACTCATTGAAAGCAAACCTTTCCATCTTTCCGTTTTCTTTGCCAATAGTGTGTAAAGTCACTGGAAGAAATTAACAAACATTAGGTACTTATTAATATCATTACTATTTCAGGCAGTGAAATTACTTGAAAATGTAACTTGAAGATTTTGTTCCAATTCTCTTTTAAGACTCTGAAATCATTAGTTTTTGAAACATTGATCTCAGAAATAGAAGTAAGAATATTATTCCCTGCCCTTTTCAATGTCATCTTGAAATCGAACCACTGAATCAGTCAAACATAAACCAGAGGACATTTTCTGGTATAAAGTTTGCACGCAGCTTCTATAGTTGAGCTTGGAGCCTTAGGTTTTGGTTGCCTTGCTATCCCTTTGTCTGAGTAAAAAGCCCATTTCTTTGAGTAAAAGCTTCCTAGTGGTTTTAATGAACAACACACAGAACTGTATACATGCTGCCTAAAAAAAAGTCTTGGACAGACATAATTCGTGGGGTTTTGCCAAGTATTGGAGTTCCTCTTGACTTTAACAAGGTTTTGGAAGCTTGAACTGGACTTGGTTTCTCAGTTCATATGTAAGGTAGGCTATAAATTATCCTCTTTTTAATAGAAAAAGAAATGCACTGAACTTAGGGACTGCATATTCTCTATTTGTGTACCATTATGCCAAATACTTTTTCCACATCTAGCAGGGGGAAGTCAGAAGAAAAAGGCTTGAAGGCCTCTTCAGCTTCTCTTAAATTATGTAAAACAAAATCTCATATTTTGTATAAAATAAGGCAGACACATTAATTAGAAATGGGCACCCACACAATTTCTCAGTCTTGATATATCTTGAGTTTGTCTCCTAAGTAACGTCGTATCCCACCTGAGAAAGAATCAGTCCTACTTACAACCAGTCCCTTAGCACCTGTTCGGAGTTATGATGAACCACCCCAAAGATACCACTTGGTTCCAAAGTTCTGATGGCCAGCCCCACCCCTCCACGGTCACATGACCAGATTTTGGATGCTCGACAGCCGGTCTGCATTTACTGCCATTTGCAGTATCCCACCAACACATAACTGCAATTTGCAACGTTTTTGCCAAAAAAACAGTGTTTAATTCCAGTTTTTGGCAAAAACACCCCATAGCAAATAGAATTTGCTTAACGACCACCTCAAAAGGCTCATAAAAACAGGTTGGTCACATGATGACCCACTTTATGACCATCACAGCTGCGCAGGCTCCATACGGTAGTAAGACGAGGACTCCATGTACTGATATTCTAGTTTTCATGAGCTGTGATCTGGAAAACATTCTGTGATCTGTGAAGAGGCTTTATGTGGTCTGGGCAGAAGCCATTACTATATCTCCAAATGCTGCTGAAATGCTGACTTTCCAAACTGGATTTTGAAGGAGTCACAAAGTGTATTAACAGTTGTTGAACAAAAGCCAGTATCGTCACTTACTTTACTTCTCACATTCCCCTGCAGGAGATTCTGGCTGTCTCAATCTTTTCATATATCTTATAAGAGATTGAGGAACAGACTCTAGACAGAGTATAATTTTTTTAACCCTCTTTTCCCATGAAATTTAGAAGCCTAAAATATTTCGTCTACTGAATTGTGCATGGATCATGAAGAGATGAAGATATATAATTACACTTCAAAATGAAACTGGACTTACAGTATAAAATCTTTTAAACATATATAAGTAAGATCAGTTGCCTCTGCATTATTTAATTCGGTTACAGTATTTTGGGGGAAGGAAAATAAAAGTGTACAAATGGGCCAATCCTTAATCAAAGCAATGTTGCCAATACCACAAAAAGCATATTCAGACACTATGACTGTCTCAGACACCCTCTGTGCTCGTGGTCTTTGCTTTACCACAAAATTTACTTAAAGTGTTCTAGAGGTCAGAGAACGGGGGGGGGGGGATTAAACAACATACACCCTCTGATTTTTAATCTCTCATGTTAGCCAAAAAATAAATAAAAATGTTGGCTCCTTTCTTAACCAAAAGGTTTTATACTTGACAGAAAAAACAAACATTACTGTGAAGTTAAATCACCAGCATTGTCCTTTTCTGTTTTTAATGCTAGTAAAACTTGAGTGGTTAAAGTCAACTTTCTATGATGTTTTAGCAATGTATTTTTTGATTATGTTTACTGGTATGTCTATAAAGAATAACTATTCCACAAAGGCCTAGGTCTAGGAATACAAACTTTAAAATGCAATCAGAAGCCTGCAATCAAATAATTGTCTGAATGATTGAAATCAATAAATGAAACTATGAATGGGTTCTATCACTCTCTTCTTTATCTTCTGTATACTACCGTGTTTACCTGAAAATAAGCACCTCCCCAAAAATAAGCCCGCCCTGAAAATAAGCCCTCTGCAGAAAATAAGCCCTCCCCGAAAATATTTAAATGTATGTGCAGCCGGTTCCCACCATTTCCTCTGGTTAGGGTTAGGAAGACAGAGCTGGAAATCAGGTAAGACGGCAAGAGGAACCCCGTCTTGTTCCATGCGCCCCAAAATAATACCTCCCCGAAAATAAGGCCAAGCACTTATTTCAGGGTTCAAAAAAATATAAGACCCTGTCTTACAGGAAACACGGTAGCTGCTGTCTATTTTATTTAGCTTTTTTAGTCTTTTAATCTATATCCCACCTACATTATTTTGACAAAAAACTCAAGACAGAAAACATATCCAACACACTTTCCTTCTCCTGTTTTCCCCACAACAATAACCCTGTGAGGTGGATTGGGCTGAGAGAGAGAGAAAGTCAGCAGCTGGCCTTCATGCCTAAAACAGGACCAAAACTCACAGAGTCCTTGAATCTTTCCTGAATCTAGTTTTAATTCCAACCAAATTGAGACACCTTTCACCTTTTTCTTTTTTAATATGTATGAATATGTATGAATATCTTTTATTTTATGTACACTGAGAGCATATGCACCAAGACAAATTCCTTGTGTGTCCAATCATACTTGGCCAATAAAAAGTCTATTCTATTCTATATGAAGAATTATTGAACATAAACAGATGGATGAACTTTCAGATAATGTAACGGTAATGATCTAAGTGCCAGACTATACAAAATTATCAAAATTGCAAGTAATAGTAGATCTGTTGTTTTACGCTATTAATTCTCATTAATATTTATTGGTAATATTGCAACCAGGTACAAACATATGGACTACAGGTAAATACATGCAGTTGCAAGAATTTTTCTGCAATTGTGTTCTTTTTTTCCTACACGCTGTTCGGACACTCCTCAGAATGGGATGCGATCACTCCTATTCGCACAGCTGAGTGTCAATCAAATCCCTCTGGAGCTGCATCCACCTCACTTCCTGCTTCCTCCTCAGACTTTTTCACTCAGCCATTGCAATGGCATCGAGTGTCTGTTCTCTTGATTACATTTTGTTCTTAATTTAGTTTTACTTTACTGAATTGGCTAAATACTATTTATTTACTGTTTAAAGGTGCTGCGCTTCGTTTGCCTTCGCTTGGAGAGGTTTTAAGCGCGTAGCGGCGGTTTGGGGCTCCGGCCGCCGCTTGCGGCTTGACTTGGCTGGCGCTTTAATTTTAACTAATTTTCCTGCCATTTGCCGCCATTGCCGCCATTTTGCTG